TTGTTTCACTTAAAGAATATCCAGAAGTGCCTTACTTACTTATCCCTGCAGACAAAAGGAGGCTCTTGTTTGAGATACTGGACTGCGAGCTGGGAAATGAGACTTCTGGAAGGTTCTGTGTTTCCAAGTTGATTGATTCAGAGCAGCCCTGTCACAATATTTGGATTCACTTTTGAAGAGCATGAGAAGAACACAACAGGTATTTCAAAGACCATAATAAAATGAAAACCCAATGAGTGAAACCAGCTTCTTAAGAAAATGAAAAGTAAAACAGGTCAACAAGATTGAAATTATAAGAGCAGTATTAAGTCAAGTCTGGAGAGTCAATCATTATTATTTAAATGAAAGTGATGTTTTTTCCAATTGCTAAGATTTACTTAAAATCCATTAAAACCAGATCTAACAAACAGGTGCAAGTAGAAACTTGGCTTCACATCCACAAAACTACTGAAGATGATAATGACTGGTGAGAAGGGGCAATTGGTCTGTGTTTCCAAATGGACATATTCAGAGGCTGAATATACCTGTGATTGAGGCAGGAATGGTTTATCTTATTTTGAGATTGTACTATGCTTAAACTCAGTGAGATGCTGCCACTGGGGCAATCAAGAATAAAGGCCCTCATTGCAAATTATCACCATCACCTGCCTATTTATCTAGAATGCTTATTCACATTAAGAAAAAGACTACAAATACATGAACATGTGACCAACTTAAATCTCTAGAACTGCACAATCCCACTCACCTAGCAGTCAAGCAGAACTGCTGCTGCCATATCACAAATTTTCAACGTGAGCAGAAATCTGAAAAACACCCTCTCAGGGCAGACTCTACCAGCACAATTTGCCACGGCATGTGTATGCTGCCCTGAGCAAGAAATCCATCAACAACATGATGAAGCTTCACAGGAGAATTAAAAAAAAAAAAAAAAGAAAAAAGTCCAGCTGAAAATTGTGAACACTTCTCTTCTGCACAAAAAATTCAAGAAACATTGTAACAACGATATGAGATCAATTATTAAAAGAACTGAAGCAGAAGTCTGAAAATACCATGAAAGGTAGTAGGAAAAAAATGTTCCAAGAGGAAAATCTCAGTCAATATGGGAAAGTACCGAGTAGAGTTTAACAATTCAGAAGTAACAGGTCCCAATAAACAGGCCTTAAGGGTCCTACATGTAAGGTATAATCCAAAAGGAAAAAACCAACAGCTAGAGCAACTCACTGAAATTACAGTCCCATTGAGAATAAAAAGTAGGCTAAGGAAAAAAATCAACCTATAAAATAAACTTAACACTAACTGGATATAAAAGGGGCATACAACAACTATACAGACTATTTTAACCATTAATGGCATGAGAGTTTGGACTAGTCAGAGAAGTAGGATAAGGTAAGACCCCAAACAGCTGGGTTTGAGAGCTAAAGCCCTTCCTACACCTTTAAATGACAGAATATCCTACAACTGCAAACACACAACATTGCATCGGAGATGAGGAATGCTCTGTCAAAGCATAAGGAACCCCAGGACCTGGAATACTTTTGAACTTTCTGGAATTTCCATTGCTTTGACACAATTTTGTTGAGATATCAACCTGTGAGGAAGCCAAAATTCAGTGCTGAGAAGGTAAGGACACAGTCCTATGGATCATGAAAGATCATGCCTGTAGCTGAATCCAGCCCACTGCATTTCAGATCCTGACTAAAATCACAATGGGGAAGACTTCTTAGGTAATAGGAGGTGTGCCAGGGCAAGTAAATTAATTAATCCTGAATAAATGGATTTTGTATATTGACAAGAAATAGAGAACTGTTTTTTAAACTTTATTTTTTAAAGATTATCTGGGTTGGGCACATTATTCTGTCCTATGAAAATGCCAGTTAGAGAATTTGTGTTCAAGGGATATTGATATATTACATGACATGGGAAAATATAATGGCAATGCTGACCATGAGGCTTTACACAGCGTAACAGATACCTGACTAAAGAAAGAAAAAAGGTCAACTGAAACATACAGAGTGAAGCAGAAGACAGGATACAAGAAGAATGAGGAACTCTTCTGTCTGGAGAAACAACTGCGCTCTGTGGAAAGAAACAGGTCAAGTGGTTCAGGCAAGAAAGCTAGCCAGGAAAAAAAAAAAAAAAAGAAGAAGAAGAAAAAGATCTGTGAACTGAAAAGTCATCCTTAATCTTCATAAACTCTGGAGAAACCCAAGCCAAAAAAGACATATTGAGAGAAAATCAAAGTTCAGAAAGAAATTCCCTACTGAGGAAACTTAACAAACTGTCAGGAGAATGTTTCATTTCCATGTAATTGCTGCTAGAGTTCTCCACATGTCCTTAAAGGAGTATTTGTGTCATATGTACTTCTCTCTACCCTTCAGCTCACAACAGCAAACCCTGAGCAAAGTGGCTGGGCTCCACATTTACTGCATTGGTCTAAGGATCCCATTGTTTAGGAAAATTATAAATAACTTCACAAGAGTACACAAATACATACTGATATACAGGACACATTTGTACAAATATGCGCTCCTCAGAATCATCCAAAAAATGTTACTTCACATACTCTACCCCTTACTCTAGAACAGATTTTCAGTGAACAAAAGCAATATTTAAGACTACCATTTAAAATAAACAAACATGCACATTTCTAAATTAACTGCTGTGCCTCAATGCAACCTAAACTGGTAGCTCACTAAAATTTATCAGAATGAATTTGATAGCATAATGTCTTTAAGCTCACTGTACTGTATGAATGGCAATTCTACTTGTTTAGTAAAATCTGGTTGTATGAGAGAGCCTGGGCTGTAAGTGAGTTAGCTGTGATATAATCAATGTTCTTCACACATGAAGCAACACTGGTAGATTTCTACAAACTTAGCTAAAGAGGCTCATTATCTGTACAAAATCTTTTTCTCACAGGTAACTAGTTTCACTGATCAAATGGCTTAATTTGAAAAGCCCAGTTATAACGACTGGACTTTAAAATCAAGAAAATAATTATTTAATGAGCCAGTTTTGATTTTAGCACAACAAAAACAATCCAGTGGGTTTCATCTTTGTTAACAGTCACTTTTATCTCATAAGATAACTTCTAACAGCTGATCACTGTTGTCTTGTGACAGAATACTAAATACCAATCAATTAAGCTAGTCTGTTTATTTCCATAGGTTTTGAATATTTAACATCAAGATGCAAAATAAACCCACTCTCCATGTACAGCAGGCCTGAGGCAAATCTTAAACCTGCCACTGACCCTTTCTGAAGCTTTCTGCTTCTACCAAAATTTGGTATTAATTACCAATTTAAGACACGGAACCAATGCAAAATCTTTAGAACTGCTAACAAAATATTGTAGGAAAAGAAGTTAAGTATCATGCACAGTAACATCTGGTTTAGACAGCTTATGTTACCTGACTAATGCTGAACATCCATGCAGTTTTGCAGTCTGCCCCAGTTTATTCATCAGGCTTGTCAGATATCTAAATTCTATTAGATATGAGTTTGATATCAGACACAGATGTTCCATTATTCTGTACATCATTACAAGGATCACTCTTGTTTTTTACTACTTACTGAGTTTGGGATTTTTGGGTTTTTTCTTACTGAGCCAAGGCAAGTCAGACAGAGATATATGTGTATTAGACAAGCATGAATATAAGCCATGTCTACAGAGCTAAACAGAGCTCAACAACTAAACTATGAATACTTAAAGCATAAGGAAACTTTTAATGAAGAAAACCAATACAATAAGTACCAATGCTGGGAATGCTGTAACCTCCACAGCTGTGACCTCGAGTACATTTTTGCAGAGTTCTGTAGCTCTTTCCCCGGAAGGGATGAATAGAGAAAGAACTGGTGCTGAATGATTATCGTGCTTGCAAGAAAGAAAATCCAGCTTCCAGAGGAACAGCAGCTCAGAGATGCTAGAGCACCAAAAGGCAGACAATCAGAATTTGTCAATTTAAGCCCAAGACAGAAAAATATGATAACCACAGAAATGCTTTCAGAGGGCATTGAACAAACATTCTGGAGGTCCATGGAGAATAATATGTGGTTTCAAATTTTTGTAGACCAAATCAATTTCTAGGTCTTCAATCTTTTGAATGGATGGGCTATAGACATTTTTTAGAAAGCTGCATTCTGCTGCAGAATGAGAGAAACTTGGAAGGAAAATATTATACCTACTAAGTATCTACCAGTGGGGAAAAGTAACAACTTTGCATCTTTTATTTGTAAGGCATTCTGTTGTGATTACAATAATTGTTCTTTTCACCAGAGAATCCCTCCACTGAGACTCAATAGACATGATGAAGTGCACAAAATCCAAAATATGAGTGTACCTAGAGCCTAATAAAACCTGCTAGATCTTTTTCAGTTACAAGACTGATGTGAGGACATAGAGAAATAAAGTAGTTTTTTCAAGTCTGTTATAAGCACAATATCTGAAATGCTTACTTTTAAAATAATGTTCCAAGGATTAGAACTATACAATCATGACCCATGTGGAGTGTCAAAGAGAATCAAACTTCAGCATCCTGTCCGAGTTGGTACAGAAAAATACCTTCTGTAACTTGTCTGGGAAAAACAATGGCGAGTCCTTTCCATCCGCTGTCTGCTGAGGAGCTGGCCAGGGGCCCCGCCCGGCCCGGCCCGTTCTATCCCCGGGCCACACCCACGCGTTTGGCGCGGCGCTTGCAGCCCCAGCAGCAGGCCCACCACTGCCCGCAGCAGCTGGTGCTACCAGAGAACGCCAACCCCTCACACCCCCTTTTTCATTTTAATCTTAAGAGCAGGCTGGCGGGCACAACATTTGCGGTGCCGGACAATTAGCAAAAGCAGCAGGGGGATGTTTGCCAATAAACACCCAGATTTGAGGTTAAGCAGCTGTAAATCTTCATTAATCGTTTCAGGAATTCAGCTATTTACAAAAGCTTTCAAAGAGCAAACAAATAAAAGAAGGGAGGGGAGAACAGACAGGAGAGGAGTCGATCTGTCCTTACCTTCACACTGCTTCCCTTCCCCTTTGTAGCCTGGCTTGCAGATGCATTTGTAGGATTTTGGTGTGTTTTGACAAATTGCGTCGATGTGACAGTCATCCGTTGCTTCTGCGCACTCGTCAACATCTGGAAGCACAGAAGGAACCCCAAGGGGACAGATAAGAAGGGAGACCTGAGCCACAAAACACCAGGGATAGATACTCCCCTTGAAGCTGTCTGCCTGCCTGCGTTCCTAGTGTCATGCTGGAAATGAGAACATTTTAGGACAAATAACTAAACCAGACAACGTGATCTTCTCCTCAAGTCCCTTATAAGCACTGGTCCAAGGAACTGGAGGGACTTGGTCTCACATTTCTGCACTATTAATAAAATACTTAGACACTAGAAATTAGCTTCTGCTGTTTAAGTCTGGTACTAGAGACCCACATCTTAATAAAACAAGAGAATGCTTAAATTACATATAAGAGGAGAAAAAAAGACCACTTGCATGTTCTAGCACAGAGATTTTCCTAATTTATAAAGACAGACCCTAGTTTAAATAAACTGTGCTGGTGGGGGAATGGGAAAAAAAATATTTGAACAGCAAAACCACATTAATACTTTTTACTGAGAAACAAAAAAATAAATAAATGGAAGACCATATGAAACTCGGTAGAGTGGAGGAAAGCAACCTGCAATAACACCATCTACTTGGACTAACACTCATTTAGGGGAAAAAAGTGCCAGCAGCCGTCCCGACCCCCGTACTGGGTACGCCCGACTCTGAAAGGGGGGGACCCAGACCGCATTTCTTGTTTTCAGAGTAGGAAGCCTTCACAAACATTTCAGTGACGGCCATTCGTTCTCTCCCCCAGACTTAAAGAGGAAGGGGAGAGAGGAGGATGAGACAGAGTTGAGATCTGGTAGTCGTGGGAATGTTAATGAGGTGAGCATGGGGAAAAAAAACCCAAACCACTCCGACCTATTCCGGGATGGGGTGTGCTGGGAACACGGGAACACTTACAGCTCTGCCTAAGCTGCCCCGGTCCCGCACTGCCCACAGCCGCTCCCCGGGCACACCAGCACCCGCAGCTTCCGACGCGAGAGCGGCGATGCCACCGCGCACAGCGGGCGGGCCGGGCCGTCAGCGCGGCCGCGGTGTCAGTCCGCACCTCCCAGGGGGCTCCTCCCCGCCTCACGCCACAGCCACATCTGGGGCTCCCGGGAGGACACGGGCAGGCAGCCGGAGAGGGACCCGCAGAGCTGCACAGAGCACAGCCCCCGCTTTATGGTCAGGAAGTACCGAGGAGACAGGGGTGCTGCGGAGGGAGGCAGACGGGCATCCAGCGAGAGGCATGTGCAGTTGGTTTCATGCCAATTAGATTAACAGATCCTCCAAAAGGTGCACTAAAGTGAAAACAGTTTTATTGTTAGCTTGAAACCCTAACGCTAATTGTTTCAGAAGTGCTCACTCAGCCATCTCCAGTGATAAGACACGGGTCCTTCAAAGTCACCGGGAACAGGAGGGGGCTATTTAGAGAGGGGAGAATAAGCAGACATTGTAGCATGGTACACAGCAGAGAACTTCTCTGAGAGGTACAGACGCGGGGCACCTCTGGAATCCCAGAGAGAGAATCGCCTGGACTCTGTATTGTTATTGTGTTATTGTTGTAGAGGTTTTTTTGGTTGTTTTTTTTTGTTTTTTTTTTTTTTTTTTTCAAGAAAGAGGGGAACAGAACACCGAGCGTCGTAATTTTCCAGACTAAGGCAGAGCTGCTGTAATCTGTTGCCTTCTATCTTGTCCATTCGTTTATTTTTACCGCTGAGCCAATTCAGATCTAGCCATGATTTACGTGTCTTAGCTTAGGTGTTGCCCAGATCAGGCACAGATTCAGTCAAGCACAAAGAGAAAAGAAGTTTGGGGGGGGGGGGGGGGGGGGGGGGGGGGGGGGAGGGTTCTGTGCGGTTTTTTTAATGCTTTGGTTCATACTTTCGAGTCATTAAACCGGCATCCATCTCCCATCAAGATCAGCAAAAGTGACAGCCGGACTCTTTATAATGCCGTCAAAAATTAAAACTGCATTGAGCCAAGGGGGACATTTCACAGCAACCAGAGGATGCCTGGGAGTCAGGCGTGAATGCCAATGAGTCAAATGAAAGGGCAAAACCAAGTATGAGCCCCTGCCCTGCTCCACATCTCACATTGCATTACTGGGACTTTAAGAACTTCTAGGCTGACTTCGTTAATTTTGTTACTTTTAAACACTATCCGAGGAATAGGGATTTTTTTTCCACACCCTCCCCCCCTCCCTTCCCCCCATGCCTGTCCCCGCTCGTACTTCACCTTAAAAGATTTCTCCGCATAACTTCAAAACCTGCACACATTTACTTTCAGAAATCACTTGGGGCTCGCAACATTCCGAAGCAGATAGGATTGGGGGGGGGTGTTCGATTTTTGGTTTGTTTTTTTGTACACCGAAGCAAAGTATAATTAGAGCTATTAAACTGATACGAGCGCCCGTGTTAAAAACACCAGGTCTTTGGGTTAATGCGCAGACAAGGAAAACCTGTGAAGATACCCCAGTCAAGGCTTGCTCTGCGGAGTCTCCAGGGCTCAGCACATACTTATCTCGTAGGCACTCAAGGAAAGTAACTTTTTCTTCCCCATCTCTCCCTGCAGAAATCCCTCAGCTCCGGCTGTGTCAAACACGCGAGAAAACGCATCCCCACCGCAACTTCCAAAACCCTCGGCGCTACGAGCAGCGAGAATTTACCTCCCTCTGAATACCGTACAGCGGGCAGAGGAGGGCGGACAGACACGGTCCCCCCGGGGTCGCGGTTGCGCGCCGCCCGCGCCTGGGGAAGGCGGCACTGCGGCGGAGCCCCCTCTTCTTACCTGCGCCCCCGTTGCCTCCCGCCAACCTGCCGGCCCAGGCGAGAGCGAAAAGCAAACAGCAGCGCCGCGAAAAGCAAACAGTGCCCATGATAATGATGCGATCCCCGGTGCCTGTCTGCGATAAGGGACGCGCTCAGGGCCGGCCGCGCGGAGCCGCCGGCGCTGACGCCCTGACAGCGCCCCGCTGATTCGCCGGGGCTCCCGCGGCGGGGGCGGTGCCGGGGCGGGCCGGGGGCAGAGCCGCCCCCGCGGCTGCCCTCGCGCCCCGCCGCCCCGGGGAGGGCGTGTTCGGGCGGCGGGGAGCCGGTCCCTACCCCTGCCCCGAGTGGTGCCTACTGGCGGGTGTGCGGCGCTGCCCGGCGTGGCAGAGCGGCTCGGCTCGCTGCCGCCCCGACAGGTAGGGTAGGCAGGGACCGCGTAGGGACTCCGCAGCATCGCCACCCTCCGCGCTGCGCCCCCCCGTGGCGGGGGCCGGCGCTGCGGGCGCCACCAGGGGATAGACGGACGGACGGACGGACACCCCCACGCCGCGGCTGTGAGGGCAGACAGGCCGGCGGACACTGCCCATCTCCTTGGCAACCCCGGCCAGGGATCCTTCACCCTTCTCGGGTTCAGGCTAAAAGACAACCTTTTTTTTTTTTTTCCCTCTCCCCTGCCTACTTTCTAACTTCGGCTAACTCCGCTCCCGCTTGCCACGGGTCATCACCAGCCGCTTGCTTCCTCCAGGGTTTTAAGGGCTTTGCTGCGGAGGTCAGTGCGCCTTTCCAGCCCTAGGTTTTCTCTTTCAAGCCCTTCATTCGGGCTAACCGCGGCTCCTCAAGGGATCCCTGCGGCCCTGGGCCGGCCAGGGGAGATGCTCTCCCCAAAGTCACCACCACCTTGGAGGTGAAAATCCTTCACTATAAAACCCAAACATGAGATATTTCTCCCCTCCGAGGCAAGCCCCATGATCCTAAACTCTTTTCAGACTGTGTTTAAAGGACTGAAATAGCTGTCAGGCATCCTTTGTTATGGCCATGCCACCCCTCTTTGCTTTACACCTTCTTTCACAGGTACCTCACTGCTGAAATGCTTTGCTACTTTAGTAATTCCCCTTTACTTCATGGCAATTAGGAGTTCCAACTCCCAACTCCCCTGGGAGGCTGTCTGTCGTGCATGAGTTCCACTTGTCGTCTGGAAGATAAATACATCCTGCCATAGCCTTAGCTGCCTCTTTTTGACAAGTTCCTCCCAAATACACATATATGTCAGCACAATACACTTGCCCAGAAAGTAGGACTACTAAGTACTTTTAAGCTTGAAGAGATGGGAAAGAAACGTAAGAAAAGTTGCTCAGCCCAGCTGCGTGTTTAGTAAAACTCCACACCCCGGTCCTTATTCTCCAATAACACTAAACCACTACTGCACGGTGACAAAGCTGTTTGCTTTCCGCGTGTTTACACCTCTACTTTGGGCATTCCCGTCCTTAATCCCTTAGGGGTGGGGTTAGGGCTATTGCTATTTTAAATCCGGACGGTTATTTTTTTTGTGTGTGTGACCCGGCTGAGGTGCAGCGCTGGATTCCATGCCCGAGTCTTCCATGGATACACCACGGAGCGTCCGTGCCGCGGAGGTCCCCAGAGGGACCACACGGTGCCTTGGAGCGCCACCTCGTGACCGTAACGGCAGAGCCACACAAGGGCCGTTCTTTTCCAAGACTTTTGGAAGGGGGAGTTTTGTCCTAGGTGAAAAGTAAGGCTAAATCTTCCCCCGCCGCACCACCCC